TACAATGTGCAACATACATTATGTTATCTATAACACTTGCATATTCTAATTGTGCCATCTCTTTCACAATTCTTAGTCAATTTTATACTAGAATAATAAAGAGTATTAAACTCTATGATTTTTGAATGATTAAATTTGTGAAGAATTTTCTCTATGTAATGTGATTAATTCAATGAATTCACATTTTATCTCTTCTGACTTTAATTCCTATGATTGTATTAGCTTCATTGAGATATTTCATTTTGAAAACTGAAGTCAAATATTTCTTAGTTTCAACAATTCCGAGTATATTTGTAACAAAGATCAACAAATCATCTACATAAAAACGTATGATTACATCATAGTCTTTTGTCAATTTAGAGTAAATGCACTTATCTACTTTATTATGTATAAATCCATTTAAAAGCATAGTACTATCAAACTTTTCATGCCATTGCACTAGAGCTTGTTTAATCCATAAAGAGATTTGATTAGTTTACAAACCTTCCTTTCATTTCTAAGAAGAATTAAACCTTCAAGTTGCTTCATATATATTTCTTCATTAAAATCTCATTTTAAGTAGGTAGTTTTAGCATCCATTTGATGTATATGTAATTTATAAATAGATGCTAGAGCCAAAAGCACTTTTATGGATGTTATTCTTACTGCGGGAGCATAAGAATCAAAATAATTAATTTTTTTATGTGAAACCTTTAGCAACTATTCTAACTTTAAAAGTTTGCACCAGACTATCTTTGTTATATTTTCTTCTAAATACCCATTTATAACCTATATGTTTTGATCTAAGAGAAAGATCAACCAAAACCCATGTTCTGTTTGATAAGGTTGAATCCATTTCATCATTTATTATTTCTTTCCAAAATGATACATCCCCTGGAGACATAACTTCTTTGAATGTTTTTAGATCATCTTCAACATTTAATAAAACAAGTATCTTTTTATACACTTTGGTTCTACTTTCTTCCACAAGGAATACTAATGTTTGCGAGTAAACAAAATTTGAATCTAAGTGCTTTATTTTTTTGGCTCTTTGACTTTTTCTAGGCTCAATTTGAGTATCATCTTTTTTTTTTTACTGGATGTCCCATGAGAAATCATATCACTTTGGTAACAACTTGGAATGAAGACATTTTGTTCACAATCAAACTTATTGTTAAAGTTATACAAAAATTTATTTTCAATAAATAACATGTATAGACTCTACAATAACGTCTAATTGTAAATCTAAAATTCTATATGCTTTAGAATGTTGGGCATATCTAACAAAAACATCTTTCATTGCTCTAGGTTCAAGCTTTGTTCTCTATGGTTTAGAAACTTTATAAAAGGCCAAGCACCCCACACTTTAAGATATTTCAAGTTTGGTTTTCTTCCATTCCAAAATTCATAAGGTGAAAGCTTAATATTATTGGAAGGAACTCTATTTTGTATATGACATGATGTTAATAAAGCATTACCTTATAAATCATGAGATAGATGTGCATTCAATAACATAGTAGTTGTCATGTTAATCAAAGTTCTATTTTTTTTTTTCAGTTAATCCATTTTGTTGTGGTGAATAAGAAGTGCTTGTTTTGTTGGAATGCCATGAAACTCAAAGATAACAATTATCATATGCAATGAAAAATTAAATTTAAACATACCATGCCATGCTGCCACTCATGGATTACCTTGATGGCTTTAATACAAACAAAACTAGAAGAGAAGTAATTAGAAAAATAGCATTACCTTTACCAAGTGATGTGGCTTTCATGATGGTACCTCTTCCTTGTCCAACCCACAAACACCATAAAAGGGAGCAAATAACCTGAGCCATTCAAATACTTGGCCTTCAATAGTTGCATACACGGTTGCACTTGAACCTTTACAAGGAGGGAGCTTTCTTAACTATGCCTTTGTGCTAGCAAGGTGGACAACTTGTTTTCTCCACATAATCACACTCCTCTTAGCCAAATCACAAAGTTGAAAAACTATTTTTCAAGTCACCTAAGAAAGTGTGCGGCTAGGATTTCTTGCTAGTTTTCTAACGACTCAAAAACCTAACTAGTGACAACTCTATGATATAAGTTCTCATTTGTGTGTTTCACTTATATTATGAGAAGTAGCTGAAAAGTTATATTTATATCTAAGTTAATTAACTTCTTCAATTGCAAATAAGGCCTCAATATTATGACCCCTTATTATGTTGGCCCAACACTTAATTATACCTTGTTTAATTAAGTCATTGTAAATTAAAATTAAATTAAATTTATTTTATTTGTTTGCAATTAAGGCTTTAATATTATAACTAATTATAATATTGGCCTTATTCTTAATTAAACTATTTTAATTAAGTCTTTAGAAGTTAAAACCTAGTGTATAATTTAAGTTCAACTTAAATAATCACACTCCCGATTTAATTAGTAATGCAACTTATTATGTGTGACTCATTAGGTTCCTAACATATTGGTAATGGAATTAAATTATAATTTTTATTAAATTAGTTAATTCAATTCCATATACTAAGATTGGCATCTAGTAATGCATTATGGCCACCCAATTGTTAAGAGAGTCAAAAGGTTTTTTGACAATCTTTCAGTGTACAATAAATCAGTGTAATTCATTCCCTCTCCTATGACCTTCCTCAATCTATTTGCTAGTATCTTAACAATGATCTTGTAAATACTCTCAATTACTCTTGTAGCCTCATAGTCCCTAATGGATTTTGGAGAACTACATTTGGAGATAAGGGTGATAAAAGTGGCATTTACATATCCGTCAATATTCCCAATCTCAAAAAATTTAACCATGAAGCTCATTAACTCCTTAATCACTTACCGTTGTTTCTAGAAAAAATTAAAGTTGAATTCATCCCGTCCCGGTGTTTTATTCCCATCACACAAATCAATGGCTTCCCATACCTCTACCTCTGCTTTACCTCTCTCAAGGACTTTAAAATTACCTTCTAATCTTTCTACTCCAGCCACTCTATCTTCTTGCAAATCATCTCAAAGTAATTGCAATCTTCTCCTCGATTAGTTGGGTTCCCAATAATTTGATCCTCCATTTTAATACACGGGATGAAGTTTGATCTCCTTCTAGAGGATTATTGAGTAGAAAAAACTAGTATTCCTATCACCCTCCACATACCACTTCACCCTCAATTTCTGATGCATCTCTTTCCACATCCCTATGAAGTTTCCACAATTCCCCTCTCTTTGTTTTCACCAACCATTCCCTTTCTGATATCTATCTGTTGATAAAGATGTTATTACGATGTGCTAGTGTGTGGAGTACGCCAGACCACGTTTCAGTCTTATTTGTGCAATGGCTGCTGTTTGGGGTTGGATGGTTGTGCCTTAGTGTGTTTCCAGTTGAAGGAGTATGAGACTTCTGGGTGGCATTGTTGAATGACTGCGTTATTTGGTGTATGTGTGGAGTGTGATACTTCTGGTGTGATAATGGCTTATAGTTATGAACTGCTAACTAGGGAAGGGCTTACTTGTTAACAAGTGTATGCTTCGCGTTTTTTAATATCTATTTAATATGTTGTAAGATCTATTTAGATGCATATGTGGGAAGGATCAATAGTGGATATCCTGTTTTCGCTATGGTCCTTCGTAATGCGGTAATTTGGATTTTTGTTATGTGTTCATTTGGTGTGTTCTGAGATGCTTGACCACACTGGCGTTCTCTCTTCCTTGTTACTTGACTAAGTCAAGATAATGTATTATCAATTTAAAATCTAATCTTTCATTGAACAAATAATAATAATAATAATAATAATAATAAATAAATAAATAAAATTTTAATCAAATGAATTTTTAATTAGTTGTAAAATTTAGTTTTTGTAGTACAACAAGGAGGAAATTAAGGATCAAAGGAGGCAAACGTTGTTAAAGAAGAAAAAATAATAGATATATGATGTCGAGGATTTATTACATATTTGATAAACATTTTAAAAATTGGTAATATGATAATAAGTTTGTATACCGTATATGCATGTCGACTTAGGTTTCTTGTTAGTTTTATTTGCCTTCTTTACTTTCAGAATATTAAAAGTATGCTTTTGGAGGATAAAATACATGATTTTTACTTTCATATAGACAACTATATTAGAACTGGTATTCCATTTTAATTATTTTTTTCATTTTTTTAATTATAATTAGCTTTTCTTTCTATCATTTACTTTTACTTTTGAGTAATTTTTTCAGAAGTAAATAGTAAAAGGAATAACCATGCTTTATATATTAGTCCAAGGAAGAATACAACTTTTAGCAGTGTAATTAAGGTTAACTCCAAAAAGAAAGGTTAAGATCAAATACTTGTACAACTTATCTTTCAACTTGTTTTTAACATATTACTTCTATTTTAAGTAAACCAAAAAAAGTAAAAATTAATAGCAAGAAAATTCTATAGAATATTCTTTTATTTTTTCTGAATTATATAACTTATTATGTAACAGAATATTCAATTTTGGTTAGTTTTGGACAAGTTTTGATTTTTGTCTTTATGAGAAATAGAAAATTTGAATCTAACTCTTTGACTAAGACATTTGTAAATTATAATGCATTAACAATCACATATATAATCCTAATCCCTGAGTTTGAATGTGGAGTATTAATTAACCCCTACCTTAGCGAGCGATACTAATCGGGTTTTAGAACTGGATTTCAATTATATTTATTTTAATGTTTCAATAATTAAGGAAAACATTTAAAAATTCTCTACTTTGGACCGTCGTTTGCCTTCTTACAATAGAACTTGTTTTATGCACATTGTCCCTCATTTATTGTTAATTCCTCGGGATAGCATGTTCTTTGCTTGTTTATATAATTTTTAAATAAGTTTCATCAGTGGACAACCGCACACGTGGGTAGCCAACACGAATTTATGCAAAATTTCCGCAGTTCCCAATACGAATTCCAGGGGTTTTCTGCAATTACCAACCATTAGATAGTGCTTTGATTCTGGTACGTCTCCTTAAGATGAAAAGCCTCCAGGATTCTTGCTCAAAGAAATGCCAAAAGCGCATGCATTAAACCAGGATAATGCTTTATTGACATCGTCACAATACCTGTACACATAGCAGTCTTGAGAATTGAGATTGAAACTTTACAGCATCACCGCTCATACATCGAGAAATCAACCTTAATGTCTCGCCCTCTTACTTTAATAAGCTAAAGAAAATCTAGACAGAAACATCAGAAGGGTAGTCTTTTGGATGTCTGCTGATAGTTCCTCTGAGTCGTTTCTCTTGTTCCAGAAGGTTAGATGGTAGATGATCATAGACATCAGAGAATAACTCTGTAAGTGGAGGTTTCTCTGTTTTCTCTGCCACCTGAATTGCTTGCAATAACTGCAGCAAGTTTCCAATGTTTTAGAAAAATAACAGTAATCCAAAGTCTGGCAATCAAACTTGATTATTATAAGGAAAAAATAGGCTTGTTTTTTTGGCAGTGCTCACCTGTTTCCTGATACTCTTTCGAAGCTCAGTTTCTTGTTGTTCACTCCACCAACCATTACGTTGAACCCAACATCTAAATCTGTTGACAGGGTTTCTAGCCAATTTCCAGTAGTCAATTTCATCAAGCGCTCGATACTTGGTGGAATCATCAGACGTGGAATGGTGTCCTATTCTGTACGTAAGGGCCTGAAAGCAACATCCAAGTTTAAACACAGAATAAATTACTCCAACAAATTCCTTAGCATTGGAAAAGATTTGCATTGGCAAGGCTTTTGCCATTTTGTCATTTGGCTGGTGAGACCTCACCTCAACAAGGATTGGTCTCTGTTCATTTATAGCCATTTCACGAGCTGCAGAAACTGCACTGTAAACAGCAAGAGCATCATTACCATCGACCCTGATGCTTCTAATTCCATACCCTTGACCCTTTACAACAATGCCATCACCTGCCAAAGACAATGAATTCTACTTGAGTTTCAAAGGCTGGAAACTGAAGAGCAGCTCTCTTTTAGAAAAGAATGAGGAAAAGAAAATGTACTTCGAAACTGTTCTGATACATGTGTACTGATTGCCCAGCCATTGTTGCGACAGAAAAATATGACAGGGGCTTCCATAACTGCTGCAAAGTTCAAACCAGCATGAAAATCTCCCTGCAAAAAAAAAGAAGAGTAAAATTATGGGTAAGTAAGCAAATAAAATCCGATTTCCTGGAAAAAGTAGTGACTAGTATGAGATTGTTGCATACCTCGCTGGTGCCACCATCTCCAATGTATGATACTGCACATGCTTTTTTGTTATCCATCTTAAGAGAATAAGCAATGCCAGCAGCTTGAGGAAGTTGCGTCCTGCAAATCATGATATGAAATTTTTTAAAAAAATTAAGATATATAGTTGAGGACAATTTATGCAGCACAAACAAATTGTAGCAGTTTAATATGGGGTCTAGAAGTCTTACCCAATAGGGGATGAGATGGTGAAGAAATTGTGCTCTTTAGACCCATAATGAATTGGCATCTGCCGGCCTTTTCCATGATCAGCCTTGTTTCCAAAGCACTGGTTGGCAAATTCTTGCAATGTGAAGCCACGCCATAACAGAACTCCGGGCTCACGGTACTGGCATGACATTAATTGAACAATGCATTAGTTCTTTTTCTTCCTCTGTTTTATATCAATCCTTTTTCAAATATACCTCCATTATGTGACCCATAAAATTGTGTAGCTCTTAAAATCTCAAAAATCAAAGTGATAACCAAAAACATTCTCCCTCTTTTTCTTACTCTGTAAATCCTTGAGGCTTAAAAGAATACACAACATTTAAAACAGTGACATCAGACTAAGCAAATCACCCCCAAAATTAATTAGTATTTAAGAAGCTAGAACAGAATGAGATAATATATTTATTTTATTTGAGTTTGGGAAAATGAGAGATGGAGTAATTTTTGTCTACAATGATATATATAATATAATAGTGTAGCTTAACTTGGAAGTTGAAGGTCTCTAGTGTTTTAACCTGTGGCAAGATAATGTCTTCTTCACTAAGAGCAGCTGCAGATGCTATGTTAATTGCTTCTTCACCAGCTGAGGTCATGTAGAAGGATATTCTTCCCTGCCTTTGTGCTTCATAGAATATGTTGTCCATTATTTGTAGAGTCACCATGTCACTGTACATTTTTACTGCAACTTCCTTGCTTACCTGTTACATTATTTTATTTCCTTCTAATTTCGTGATATTTTGAGTTTTGTAAATCAAAAGAAAGAAAGAAAGAACCTGTTGAAAATCACTGTCCATAATTATTAGCTCTCCATCATCATCCAGGACCCGATAGCAAGGTATTCTCTTGTGTGAAGATTCTGAGATGAAATTCATTTCCGTAGTATATGTAACTTTGCCGCCAGGAAAATCCAGTGACTGCCATGGAAACACATTTAACTTTTACAATTAACATTCACTTGAACTTATCTATACTATTGATTATAGGCGATTTTCAGTGACTAATTTCACTGCCAATATGCTAAAGTCTCTTCGTAACCCTTTAATTCTAATATTATCCTGTAGAAATACTACTACACTATACTTATAAGGTTATCTTTATTTTGTAGCTAGTTTAATAAGCTCGTTTAGTTGATGTTTATATTTATCTGTGATTTTGTTTTCATTTTTCATTTTTTACTTTTTTTTATTCAGTGTTTTTACAAAAATTAAAAATAAAAATATCAATCAAACAAAAGATAAATAATAAAAACAAATTTTTTTCTTTGATTTTATTTTTTCTTATTTTTAATGCATGTAATTCTTAACTATTTTCTCAACTCAACTTAATCTATTGTTTTCATCGTCACTTTTATACTTGCTTTCTTTTATTCGTATTTTATTTGTTGCTTACCTCGCATGGGGCTTGTATTAGGCAATATAGATCGATCCTGTTTTAGGCTCGGACTCACCTTAAGTACTCAAAATTTTATTTTATTAATGAAAATTATTTATATTTAATTTTAATTTTAGAATCTATTTAAAAATGTTAACACATAAATAATATATTTTTTAAAAGTTTTAATAGTAAATTTAATTTAATTTAAATTTATTTTTTAAAAGCATGGACACTTTCTCATTTAATTTTTTTTCTTTAAAAGAATTGAAAATAATACCTACGATTGAAGTAATAGAATAAATAATGGGTTGGTGATGTTTGTCTCATTCATTTGTTGCATATGATATGCCTAATATTCAAATTGTTGGCGTTTATAATATCTGAGCAAGGAATTTTGAAAAGTGAGGATAATATGGTGAGGAGGGGCCATTATAATGTTGATGTAATAATGAGTGCAGCTTGTGGATAAGAATTGTGAAGCAGAAAAGCATGATGCATTAACGTGGCAGGAGAAACAAGAGTGGGGAAGTGGACATCGAATCATTCACGATTCATCAACCAAGACACTAAAGCCAAACCCTTTCTGATTTTGTGCTCGCCACTCCAACTGTGAAACGTCTTTCGCCTTAGTTTGTCGCCTTTTCCTTTCTTGAGACAATCTCCATTGCTCAAGCTGTTTCGACAGCGTTGTTCTTGTTTGTTAGTTCCAATTACTTTTCGATTTATTTATTTTTTAATTCATTATTGAAAGTATAATTTCTAACTTTCCCAATCTATTCGTACATTCTGAATATGTAAATGATGATTAAAACTATTGAATAAAAAAATAATATATATGTGAGAAAACGATTGCTTCCTTCTTGCTGCACGCATGCATGTTTGGTTTTGTTTTTTTCTTTTCTTTCTCTTTGGAAACTTAGTTTATAACATGTGATAATAAATTAATAATATAATCCATTAAAAAAAATATGTATGAATAACGTAGATTTGTTTACAAAATTTAAAACTTTCGATGTAAATAATTTGATTAATAAGTTTGATTGGGATAAGCAAATAGGCGTGTAATCCGCCTCGTATCTGAGTATCGGGTTTTTCTTCTTTTAAGTTTGAAAAAAAGAATTTTAAAATAGATACGAAGCAAATCCACGGCAGATTACACGCTGGCTCACGTCCCTTGCACGTGGGGCAATATCAACTTTCATTATTTTCTTGCATTTCACGTGTTACTGTACCTACAACATGCTTACATTACACGGACCAATGCATTTTGTCTCAATGGATAGTAAGGTGTATGAATTTTCTACTTAACAGTCACTTCAATTTTTAACTTAAAGCTTAAAAAGAAAAATATTTTACATCCATAGCCATAGGTAACTAATTTTAATATGTTCTTTATATATAATTTGAATAATATAATCTAGAGGTTTTATGTAGTAATAGGATTATTGACTACATATATATATATATATATATAAGAATTGACCAAAGCACTAAAAAAATTATAATAAATTTAAAATTTTTTATTAAAATTTTAGAGAAAAAAAAAGAATTTGATTCAAAGAGAAAGATAGAAAAAGAAAAAAATTTTTAGTGATTTAATTTTGATTTTAAATACTTATTTATAAATAAATTTGTAACTAGTCATCATTCATCACTATTCATCAAAAGGTCATTATTATTCATTAAAAGTTACCAACCTTAAGTTTTAAATTATTAGACATTTTTCATCAAAAGTGATTATTATTCATCAAAGGTTATTATTATCTTTGGGATTTGATCTACTAAGCAACTTTTTCCTTAATTAGTCTCCTTCCAAATAACGTTAAAAATTAATTTGTTATGTACTACTTGCATAGATATCTTCTCTCTTTCAACTTACAATTTTTTTTTTTGGAGTACGTTCAACTTATAATTTAATAAGACTACTTTCTCCAACTTAAAATACAAAAAGGTATTTTTTTTGTTGCAATATACGTATAAAAGGGTTACGCCTAATCTATTCAAATTTACTATAGATAATTTTTGTGTGTGTGTGTGTGTGTGAGTAGCAACAGAACTTTTGAGAATCAAATTAGCCATATTTTTAGAATTTGGTTACGTTGGTGTTGCTAGTTAATAATGTTCTTAGCAAACCTTTTGATGGTTTTTCTATCCGAATGGTTAGACTACAAGTTCACCAGTGGAATTTTGTTTTGAAGGATTCAACAAGTGGAATTGGCGTGTACAATTCCTACTAAAAAAAAAAACACACTCACATGCAAACACAGAGAGGCCAATTAAAAAAAGGCAGGCCAAGAGAGTTTACCTGTTCATCATCACTATCGCTAGAGAAAAACGAATCAAGCTGCCTTTCAGCTACGGAGGACTTGAAACGCTGAAGAGAGAAAAGGGTAGCCCTGTTGCATGGCAATGGATGCAGATAACTACAGTTCTGAGGAACAAGCCGGTGACTGCTCAAGGACGACAAACTACAACTTTGCAAGGTAGAGCTCCAAGAACTTTGGTTAACGACAGCGCCCCCCATGAAACCTTTATTCATACATTTCCTGATGTGGTTGGCGATAGTTCTTGATGATCTTGTGCGCCAAATCGCCATGGAAATAGGAACAAAGGGTTTTGTGTTTTCGTGTTCTCTTTTCTTTTATCTATATATATATATATATAGAGAGAGAGAGAGAGAGAGAGCTAGCTAGATTATATATATTTATATATAAATGTAAAGAAAGAAGTTACAAAAAATGAATACGAATCAATATGAAAGCACACAAGGATGGATTGGAAGATAATAAAAGAGAAAAGTGAGGTGGAAGAGGTATCTTTTGATTAATTTGTTGACACGCGAGAAGGGGGGAGAAGATGTGCTAGCCTAATGTGGTTGGCATTACATGAAGTGACAGGTCATATATAGGTTGTTCCAATCTTAATTAACGTAGAGTCATTTGTTTATTCCAATAATTTATGCCGTACGAAAAGGTCAATTCGGAAGTTGATAATACACTCAAAACTTGCTTGGGTGATAAAATTGGAGTCCCATCTCCATATACATCAGTGGGTACAGCCAAACTATGTTAATTTGTCTGATATACAATAGCATCATCAATGCTCGTCCACTTTCTGTACAAAAGGTGGCTCAGCATGACCCACGTGGCCTTTGTCTCCTTTTAAAGCTCTTCTTCTCTAAAATCTCATAATCTTTTTATTTTTATTTTTATAAAACATGGTATTTTTTTATAAGATATTTTTTATTAAAAGATATTTAAATCTAATTTTTTAAGTTAGAGATGCATACATTTTTTTATTGATTGGAATACCCACATGCTAATAGTATGATTCACCATTTTTTGCAGGATCTCGTCTTTAAATCATTAGATCAGTACTTATAATGTTTCCTTTAAAAATTATTGTGCCATTCATCCAATCTTCATTATCCTCGTTTATGTTCTATTGGAATACATTAAGTCCAAGGGCATTTGTCATTGAGTATTATCTTTATTATTCATAGCCTCTTCATATGTAAAAGAATCATGATTTGATTCAAACGGTTTTATTTGATAAATTTCATTTAATAAAGTATCTTTAATCACAAGTTTAATTGCTCTTTTACTATGTCAAGGTTCTTTGCGATTGTGTAGGCTCAGTAGGAGTCATAAAATTTTCTTCATTATTCTCGCATATCACATCTTTCAAGAACCATATTAGTTCTACTTTATAATCCTCTTCAAAAAAGGTACATTTCTTCTTACAAAAACTTTTGCTCACAGGATTATAAAATAGTAATCAAAACTTATTTTGGGATATCTATCAAATAAGCACCCATCAATCCTCGAGGCCAGCTTATTGACATTGGCTGTTTTACATGTGCGTGATTATCCCAAATCTTTAAGTATTGTATATCAAGTGATTTTTTTTGACTTTTTTTAATGAAATTTTAAAGATTGATTTTGTTAAGATTTATTTACTAAATAGATTATTGTCTTCAAAGCATAATTTAAAAAAAAGACTAAAAGAATTCTAATTAGTTCCTGTGTTTTTCGCTTAAACCATGATTAGCTAGTTAAAGTGAAAGGCCCATATGTTGAAAAGTTAAACCATTCTATGGTTTGTTGACATTATCAATTAATAATTCTAATCTTGAAACTTGTTATGAATATATGTGTGGATGTCTATTATGTTACAATCCAAAAAATTCAGATAAAGTCAAATAGTGCAACAGGTCAAACACAAGAAATGTAATTCAATTTGAATTCTTAAATTTGATTATATACATTTAGATTTGGATATAGATTAAATTGGATTAAGATTAAGATTTAAGGTTTATTAGCCTATAAATAGACTTTTCACTTCATTTATAAATACAGACTTGAATAAGATCTTTCTTATTTACTAATTCTTTGTCTTATAGTTGTTTTTTCAATTTATACCTCATAACACGTTATCAGTACCATTCTCTTTTAAGTTTTGGTATCATTTAGTTTTCATCATCATCTCAAAGTCGAAGTTTAACTTTCTTTAGTTTTCAACATCATCTTAAAGTCGAAGTTCCAGTTCTATAAGGCTTCAAAAATGTCTTAATAGTTGGTCTTTGATTGGTCTTAGCAAATCAAGCAAATGATTTGATATCTCTTTGATGTTTTCATTTCTAAAAAATTAGTCTTAATGTGAATTTGCTATCATACAATATATATTATATTTTGTCTCTTGATTTATTAAATCGCAATGTGAATTTGCTATCATGTAATCTATATTGTGTTTTGTCTATTAATTTATTAAATCGAATTGAATATGTAAATATGTATAATTATATATGATCTCTTATTCTGGTATTGGAATATGATTTGCTTAATATTGATTTATCTGTTGAATTTTGACTATAATTTGACTCAACATATGTAAGTCTATCTTTGATATTATGAGATTTTGCATAAGACATTTTTGAATTGAACATATAAAATTGACTTTATACATATATGACTTTGTATGATATATATTTTGTGACAAGTGGAAAATACTTTATTTTGAATAATCTAAAAATACATTTTATTTTGGATTTTATGTCTTTTTGTGGTTAAGTAAATTATGACCTACCAATGAAAAATTATAAACTTCGTCTATTTCCTGAAGTGAATGCGATATCATCTAATAATTTATAGTCATGAACAGAGAAAAGGTTGCTATAATTATTGCATTTGCGATGGTTACACTAATCACTATTCTAATAATAAGAACACCTTTATCCATTATAAGTGAATGAATACCTTTAACTACCAAAAGTGAATAGATATTTTAACCTAGATGGATATTTTTTCTCACTAGAAATGGATGAGTAGTGAAGAGATATAAGAAAAAAACAAAAGTAGATAGAATAAAAAAAATATAGAAAATGTCTGTCATCGTTATGGTATGAAAAGTCATTGGTTGTGTACCTTTCGTATGTCGAAATATCTTATTGAACTTTATCAAGCATTACTGAAAACTAAAAGAAAAAAAATATTAAAACAAAATTTGTTCAAGATGATTTTAACCATGGTCAATTTGGTATAACAAATATAGATGTTGATTTTCTTGTCCACCCTAAAGAAAGAATTGATCATGTGATTAGTGATTAAAACATACAAGAAGGAAATTTTTTAAATAATTTGTTAGTATGTTTTAGTATAATTTTATCATGAAGATGTTTTTATATGTTCTCATTATATTTAAATGATATGACTTTTTATGTGTTTTAATAGTAAATTATATATCTAATGTTCTCTTACGTTAAATGCAAGTTTCTTACAACATATGTATATTATTTTATTAAAAAATATAGATATTTATCTAGATTGTACTACAGAAATATTAGAATGATTGAAATTCATATTATAGTAAACCAAAAATTCACTAATGATTTTAATATTTGGCATGATTAGTTAGGCCATCTTGGATTAATAATGATGCAAAAAATTATTAAAAATTCATATGGTCATCGATTGAAAAACTAGAAGATTTTTTAATTTGATGAATTCTCATGTGTTGTTTGCTCTCAAGGTAAAATAATTATAAGGTCATCATTAGCTAAACTTGGGACTGAATCTCTTACATTTTTTTAAATATATTCAGGATGATATATGTGGATCCATACATCCATCATGTGGATCATTTAGATATTTTATAATTTTAATCACTACATCGACTAAATGGCCACATGTGTGCGTATTATTAACTTGCAATTTGGCATTTGCAAAATTACTTGCCTAAATCATTCGTTGCAAGCACATTTTCCTGATTATGCAATCGAGACTATTTGTCTTGGTGATGTTGGTGAATTTAAATCTCAAGCCTTTAATGAATATTGCATATTAGTTGGAATAACTATTGAATAACTTGTTGCTTATGTTCATATACAAAATGGTCCAGTAGAATTATTTATTAAACACTTACAATTAATTGCAAAGCCATTGCTTATAAAAACTAAACTCTCCATTTTTGCTTGAGGGCATGCTATTTAGCATGTAGCAGCACTTGCACACATTATACCAATAAGTTATCATATATTATCTCTTATACAATTGGTTTATGATCATGAATCAAATATTTCCTATTTAAGAATTTGGATGTGTAATATATGTCTCAATTGCTCCATCACAACTTACAAAGATGGATCCTCAAAAAAGGTTAAACATATATGTTGGTTACAAATCTTCATCTATAATTAAATATTTAGAACCAATAGTAGGAGATTTATTCATAGTAAGATTTATCGATTGTCATTTTAATGAAACAAAATTTTTAATGTTAGGAGGGGAAAATAAGCAGTTGGAAAAAGAAATTTCTTATAATGCATTATTATTATTTAGTTTTGATTTTTGCATAAATTAATGTAAACTTAAAGTTAAAAAGATAATTCATTTATAAAATATAGCAAATCAGTTATCAAATATATTTACTGACTTAAAGATAATAACCAAATCTCATATACCAACTCCAAATACTTCTATTAAAATTGATGTCCCAGTAAGACAATCTACGATTACTAATGAGGCTAAGGTAAGCTAGAAAAGTGGGAGACCAATTAGTTTCAAAGATAAAAATCATCGAAAAAGAAAAAGAATAAATATTCAAGATAGTCGAAAAAAAGAAACAAAAACTCTGGAAGGGACTTTTGACATAATTTTAAAAGAAATTTAGGTACATAAAATTAGTGAAAATGAAGAGATCTGAATAAATTATATTATGATGAGGAAAAGATAAAACTAGAATGAAATAAACGTCGATGATATATTTGCATATAATGTAGTGGTCAACATTATGAAAAAAAAATGAAGATCTTGAACTTACATTTATTGAAGAATGTAGACATAGAAATGATTAGCCAATGTGAAAAGACACAATAAAATTGGAATTGACTTCACTTGCAAAATGTGAAATTTTTGGACCTATAATCCATATAACAAATGGTGTAAAATAATTGAGATTTAAATGGGTATTTCAGCAAAAAAAATAAAAAAAATGAGTTTTTGAGATATAAAGCACGGTTTGTCAAATAAGGGTTTACCTAAAGACCTTATATTAATTATAAAAAGACATATTCTCTTATGGTGAATGCGATTACAATTCTATATTTAATTAATTTGGTAACACATGAAAAGATTAAATGCGTCTAATAAATGTAGCTATAGCCTAATTATATGGCTCACTTGATATCGATATCTATATGAAAATCTCTGAAAAATTAAGTTGCTTAATACACATAATTCTTGAAAAATTATTCGATTAAATAATATATA